TCAAGATAAACTGCTCTCTTTACCTGAAAGAAAACATTTTTTATAGATTTTTAAAGAAGCTAACATGTAAAAAACATTCAGAATTTGTCAAAGTAAAATTCAGTGATGTCCGTTAGCAGTCTATGATACAGTGCTCAGTCGTCGAAGAAACTTTTGCTCCTCTTTAAATATGTTGCAACATTTCAGGTTTCATGTCAGCAAAAGCTAAAATATCCTCAGAGCTGGAAACGCTCAGTTCTTTTCAGCAAAAAATCCCACAAACACTAATTAATCTAACATGGTCAGAGATATTTGTTGCAGTACATTCAAATGTTTACTACGTTCTGTTTACCCACAAAAACAGTACCAAGCAAGTCTTTGAATCTGCACTCACCATCAGTACACCGTCTGTCTTTACTACAAAACGTTTGTCAGAGGTGTCGAACAGAAATCTTGTGCGATCTGTGCAGTCAGTGAAGCCCACTGAGAACAGAGAGAGAATAGTTATTGTTTAATTACTGGAGTTCATGAAGAGAAAGAAAAATAAGTGGCACGTCTTAAATGCATAAGAACAAAGTAATAAAAAGTGTTGTTAAATCAAATAGAAGTTAAGAAATATCTTATGCTTTGAAGCTCTATGAAGACTCATGTATCAAAGCTGCAGAAAAATTGGTATTAGTTGATATCATGCCTGGTATTACTTCGGCTACTCTATAAGTACGTTAACTGGTCTAGTCTTATTACACCTCCTACATATCTGCAAGCTGCTTTGAAACCAACTTCAGCTTCAGGTGTGGTGAAATGTGCACATGTGATGTGAGATGTTTTGTCATCATTGTAGCTGTGCATGACAAACAAATATTTTGATTAATATATTTTTGGTATGGTGACGTAGTGGTTAATACTTTGGCTCACAGCAAGATGGTCTTGTGGTACAAACCCAGCAGCTCCAGGTGCAATAGTTTTCTCACTTGTGAAAAATGTGTTTGATTAAGAAATTTCATCCCTGAAATTCTCAGCTATTTGAAATGTGCTGTTTGCTTTTAACCTGTTGATGGCCTCTCAGAACCAAATCCCTACTAACTGCAACTTTAAACCACTACTAACCAATATACAACCATTTCTGTTATTACCTTTGCCCAGTACTGTGCCTCTTGTCAGGTAGTTTCTCGTCACACTGAAAGTGAGCTGATCTGACTGAAACCCAGGTACACATACTGGCTCCTCAGCAGTCACTAAATTTGGAGGCTAGGACAGAAGAAACAGCATTTTAATGGTTGCCACGAATGATTCAGATTCCTTTAAACAATTACTTGTGCATGCAGTTGTAGGTAGATCATCAGAGTCATTACAGAGTTTTCAAAAGTATCACCAAGCAAGAAAAAAAAACTTATCAGTGCGGTTACTTTCTGGTTCCCAGCAAAATAAGAAAAAAGTGTTTATAAGTAGGACTTCCCTGGTGTAGGCACAGGGCGCAGGATGTTTAGTAGCAACGTGTTTCAGTCAGCCGTGTGGTGTTGTGAGAATGAGGACCCAAAATGCAGGCATTGGCTGTGATGCAAGTGAGCTCTTTATTACATGAGGTGAAAAACAACAAAAGCGAGAATGACAAGGACAGAACTAAAACATAGCCTAAACTGGGGAAAAACTAGACAACACAAACACACAAACCTAAAACCATACAACCTCTGGACGAAGATCGGAAATGTCACAGAGAATGTTGGGCAGAGAGATGCAGAAATTTCACCAGGTTACACAGACCAGGTGACAAGGAACACAGGCAGGCACACACTATAAACAGGGCTGCACATAAGTGGTCCGCAGGTGCGCTGTCAAAATAAAAGAGGTGCACCAGATAAGAAGTTGAAACGCGTGTTTGCGTACATAAGATTTTCTGGAGGAGGATAGACATTTGTTTAGAACTCTTAAAGATGTCGAAGAAGCGAGCTCCTTTAAGCAGTTACTGTGATGTTCCTCCACCTCCAAAGAAATGTCAGGAGTCCAAACCGCAAAAGAAGCGCATATTCCTACAAAAGTGGTTGCAGAAGGTGAGCTGGCTTCAAACAAATGATTGCGCGCGCAGAATGTGGCGCAGAATGTGGCGCATACTCCCATACAACTTATGTGCACCCCTGACTATAAATACAGACAAGGTAACGAGGGAATGACATAGCAGAGGGGAACACAGCTGCACCTAATTAGACAAGACAAGGAAGTAAAACAGAATAAACTAACATGAGACAGGACCTTTCAAAGTAAAACAGAAACTTCACAAACACAAGCTCAGGGACATGAACAGAGCAGAGGGGGAGGACTCAGGCAACCAAAATCAGTAACAACTAGAACATAAGATAATAATAATACCAAACACAAAACGACCCAGGACCATGACAAAATCAGTCTTATTTGTTATCTATCCCTTATATTTGTTATCGTCCACCTGGGTCTTACAGAGTTTCTGTCTGTTTGCTCAGACTTTTTATCTGATTTAGTTCTCAGCTCAGTAAAATAATTATTGTGGGTGATTTTAACACCCATGTAGATGCTAAAAATGACAGCCTCAACATGGCATTTAATCCGTTATTAGACTC